TCTGTTGCAGATCTTGGTGGTAGTACTGCGTACCCAAATTAGAACTTTGAAGGCTGAAATGGGGAAAGACTCCATGTGAAAAGCAATTTGACATGGCAAGTGTTTTTTTTGCTGAGCATGCTTGATTTTGCTTGAGTTGTTTGACTTTGCATGAGCTGGTTCATGCTAGCATGGACCCACCACAACAACGACGGGCAGCAGTGAATTAAAGCTAGTTTCCGAACAGGGAAGCCAAAGCAACGGCTACCACATCTAAGGCAGACAGCAGGCACGCAGAGAGAAGTAACTGAACACCCGGGCCCTGGAGTGCCGCAGGCAGGCTCTTGTGGTAAGCAGGGCTGCGCAGGAAGTGCTAGGGAGTCGAGGTAGGCTGTTGCGGTAGGCTGTGCAGGTAGGACGCTGTGTGACAGGAGTGCTCCTGCGGCCAGGCTCTCGTCTTCATCTTCGACTTCTTCAAGCACATCGACAGGCAGGGTTTAGGGCAGGGAGGTGCAGAAGGCGCTACAAGATTGGAGCTGCTTGCAAGACTTGCGAAGCACCTGCGCTTGCCATGAGCGGAGGTCTTTATAAGGCTTAGGGGTTCGGGGTCGGGGTTTAGTGGGGCTCTCTGCTTTGTTCTGTCGCTGAAGTTCTTTGGAGTAGGAGTGCTGCTAAGCTGCAGAGCAACAGGCGTGTAGGCATCTGCCAGGCAGACCGCCCGAAGCAGAACATTTTGCGTTGGTAGAAGTTCATGCTTGTTGTGTTTAAGAATCTTGAGGGTTCACATCCAGTGGTTGTAGGTCTTCATCATCCGAGTTGCTACGCTTGCTCGGCCCTCAGCTTGCTGCGGCCGTCTCTTGAGCTTAAGTGCGCTTGGCTTGCTTGGGAGTTCCTTGCGTGATTCGATCGGCAGCTTTTCCGACGCTCTCTCAGGTGCTGCTTGTTTCACGCCGCCGGGAGCTTTGCGCAAGTGCTCTGAGTGTGTAGGTTACTGTCCCTTTAGGCCGGTAGGATCCCAAGTGGCTGTGCGGGAGCAGGGGTTGTAGGGGGTTGTGGGTCTAGGAGGGCTTCCTTACTCCTGTCAGGGGCCTTTGACCCTTGTTTCCAAGATTCCGTCACTTTCGTCACTTCCCTGGGGGCTGCTGGGGGGCTGCTGGGGGAGCTGCTGGGGCTGGGGTTCCGTTGTCACTTCCCTTCTGGGGGGGCTGCTGGGGGGAGCTGCTGGGGCTGGGGTTCCGAAAATCCGTCACTTTTGTCACTTCCCTCTGGGGGGCTGCTGGGGGGCTGCCGGGGGCTGCTGGGGAACCCCTTCTTTCTGGGGGCTGCTGGGGGGCTGCCGGTGGCGCCCTTTGTTTCTCAAAACCCGTCACTTTTGTCACTTCCATCTGGGGGCTGCTGGGGACCTGGCGGGCCCTTTGTTTCTCAAAACCCGTCACTTTTGTCACTTCCATCTGGGGGCTGCTGGGGGGCTGCCAGGGGCTGCTGGGGACCTGGCGGGCCCTTTGTTTGACCCGTCACTTTTGTCACTTTTTGGTGCTGCTGGGGGGCTGCTGGGGGGCTGCAATGGGGGGCCTTTGTTTCTCAAGTTCCGTCACTTTTGTCACTTTTGGGCGCTGCTGGGCTGCTGGGGGAGCTGGGAGCCCTTTGTTTCTCAGAAGCCGTCACTGTTGTCACTTTGGGTGCTGCTGGCTGCTGGGGAGCTGTTTCTCAGAATTCGTCACTTTTGTCACTTTTGGTGCTGCTGGGGGCTGCTGGGGAGCTGGGGCCTTGATTCTTAGAACCCGTCACTTTTGTCACTTGGGGGTTTGTCAATTTGGGTTTGGTTGCAAATAGAGCGCCTCTACATGCACCGCAGGGGGAAGTGACAAAAGTGACAACTTTTTTGAAACAGGGTTGCTGCCGGAAAGCGCGAATTGAGAAGTGACGGAAGTGGAATCATGAGGTGGTGGCTGCCGGAGCATGACGATCCACTCGGGCGTAGCTGCCGCATCCTGGGCTAAAAACAGGACAATTGCCCCCTGCAAGCCTGCAAGCGCTGCAAGCGAGCGAGTGAGTGTGTGCGAGTGAGTGAGTGCCAGAGTGGGTGAGTCTGTGATTTGGACATGATGGGCAGCCGCACTTTGGATGTTGCTCATTTGTGCAGCGCATTTACGCTCAAACATGTGGTGGGCAAGATCTGGCTGATTTGTTGAGGCCGGCTGCCTGTAGTGCCCTAAACCGTACCCCCTTCAGGCAGTTCTCACGTCTTTCCCTCAGGAGTGCCTGGCACAGAGCGTCCGCATCTGCGAGGGTTTTTTGAGGGACTTTAGGTGTAGGAGGGTTTTTTCCTACTCCCTTTTAGGGTCCCTATAAGCCCTCAGTCCGGACGCCCCGGCCCCTCGCGGCCAGGTTCTCGTCTCCATCTTCGACATCTTCAAGCACATGGACAGGCAGGGTCTAGGGAAGAGAGATGCAAAAGTTGTTGCAAAACGGGAGCTGCTTGCAAGACTTGCGAAGCGTATGGCACTCTTAGCACCCCCACCGCGGCACAGCCCGGCCGGCCCGAGGTAAATGGGGTAAATGTTGCGCTTTAAGCCGTACCCAATTCACCGGATTTACCCGCAGGGAGCTTTAGACGAATTTCGATGAGGGGCTACGTTTTAAGGCTTCAGGCTTAGGCCATGGGTTGCATTGGCAGGCTCGGATTGCGCCGGTCGGCCGCGGTCTCGGATCTTTGCGAATGTCAGCCAGCTGCAGCGGTGACCGCGCTAGCCGGTGAGATGCTGTTTCCTCTGTGAGCTCAGGGCGCACGTAGACATACGCCTGTGTTGTATTGTGTGGTCCTGCAAAAGGATTATTGTTCAACCTAGGGTCAGAGTTGCCCCTCCCGCAATGGCTACGATTTGGTTGCTACTATCAGCGTACCTGCCGACGGTTTCTGGTAATTGCCGGATGAGCCAGTGTCGTGACCTCGATCATTTCGTCAACTGCACAGTGGACGATGCTACTTCTGGCGTGGCGAAAACCGTTGTCCTCGGCCACTGCTCAGACTTCTTTGCGATGAAGTTCGTCATCATGAGCCAGTTGTGGTCCCCAACGGAGCCACTACTGTATTCCTTCAGCTTGTTGCGTGATCGCTTAAGCTCGCATTCGGCAGACAGACCGTCTTGGTGGGCACTGCAGCAGCTGAAAAGAGTGCAGTCGGATGACACAGTGATGGTGCAGTCGCCTCGCGCGAGAGAAACCGAGCGACGTCTGGCTGCACAGGCTGCCAAGGCGCCCCTGGCTTTTGGAATCCAAATGCCCAGATTAGACTGCACAATTTGCGTGGACTTGGTGCAACCTGTCTGGCTTTTTAATGCGAAGGCGGAAGCTGTTACGAGCTTTCGCGAGGCACTAGTGAACATCCAGGTGGATGACAGGGCTGATGGCGTTGTGTCGCACCTTTTGGAAAAGCCAGACCAGCTGCCGTGCGAGGGTTGGCTGTTTTTCGTATTGGGTTATATACACGACATAGCTTCAATCGCAGTCACGACTGGGCTCGTCCACCCTGATGCTCACAGTGGCAATTTGTTGTATGTTCAGGAAAAAGGGACAGGTGATGTTAGGTTCAGCTGGTGCGATTTTGGCGCGAGCTCGTTGCGATACAACAACGGCACCAGCGATCTTCCATCAACGAGGTGGCAGCGTCAGATCCATCGCACACTCTCGTCTGGAGTCAGCGCCGCAGGCAAAGTGTGTAGGGCATTGATGCCTGCGGAGTGGGCGGACTTGCCTGGTAATGTGCTGCGTGAAAACCAGGTACCCCGTGCTGCCATGCTGGCAGCACTTGCAACCAAGTTTCAGGTAAGCTTACTTCGAGACTCGCCCAGAATGACACATGTTTTGAACCGAGTTTCTCGGTTGTCTATCCCATTGCTGATAAAGCTGGAGTCCCAGCAGATAAAGCTGGAGTCCCAGCAGATAAAGCTGGA